GTTATTCCTGTACTACTTATGCAGTTGGCCTCAAACTGTCAAACTTTATCCCCACAACCTAGGTGATACGGGCATATGATAACACAAGCAAAGAGGTCATGTATATAGTGAAAGTGCAAGTCCAGGTGAGCCCATCTGAGCAAGAGATTAAGTTCTATATGTTGGATGTGCTAGCTACCTTTAATTTTCTATTAGGAAGGCCTTGGTTACATCACATAAAGGTTGTCTCTTCCACTCTCCATCAGATGTCGAAGTATCCTCATAAGAGAGGAGTAGCAACCATTTTTGGAAACTCATCCATACACCCGTCGTTGTCGGTGACTACGCCAGCACTAGAGATCAACCATGGCAACGAGGATGTATTCCTCTTAGGATTCACTTTGGCAGAAGCCCAGGTAGTGTAGACCATTCTGGCCACTGACCAAAGCATGTATGTCAGTGCCCAGTCCATCTACTTCATGAACAAACTATGGCACATTCTAGGAATAAGGCTTGGACAAAGTGGGCAGAAAAGGTGTTACAACACTAGCAGAGGTGCCATACAACCAGCATGCCTTTGGACTGGGCTATGTTCCCACCAAAGAGGACTGGATAAGAAAAGGGGAAGAAACAAGGGGCAAAGCTAAGGCCAAGAGAGCTGGAAAGCATTATGAGCTCGTCCACAGGCCAATCCGGGGGATGTTGAACGACCATTTTCTTCACGAGAGAGAGGATTTCCCTTTTTGTGATTTTCCTGAGCCTTGGGTAAATTCCTTGAAAAAGTGCATCCCTGGATTTGACATCTTCTTTGATCTACAGCTGCAAGACAGTGATGAGGAAAAGGCTAAACCAAACGTCAAAGCTAACCAGAGCACGGCTAATCTCCTGACAAATCCCGCGACCGACACGGAGAACTTGGGGGTTAATATTACTATTTCTATAAATGGAGAAGACCGGATATGAATCCCACCAGTGGCATTTTGGATGCATCAAAGGCACCATGTCTTACTTGCCAGTTGAAGAAAGCCTATCTTTCCAATTCTGAATCGGGTGATGAGCCAGAATCTGATTCTACTGAGTCTGTGGAGTCGAAATCAGATTCAAGTCAGTTTGGGGAGTCAGAGTCTGGCATTCCCGAGGGTGGTAACCCAAATGCCAAGGTCTTGTCGAGGTCCTCTTTTTCTTTCTCTTTTTAGTCGGTTGTAACCGAAGAGCCGGAACTTATGTACGAGAATGCTACAGATTTTGTGTACTTCTCTACACCGTTGATTTATTTCATTGTCCAAGATTTTCAAAATTTTAATGAAAACGAGGAAGAAGAAATTCCTATGACTCTGAAAAACTTGATTAATCGAGAGAAGAAGAGGTATGCTAAGCCTTATATTGATGAAATCATTGCCATTAATGTGGGTACTGAGAAGGATCCGCGCTCGGTCCATATCAGGCCCACGTTGTCTTCGGAGGAACGCGAGCATTTAATCGCTTTATTAAAAGATTTCAAAGATATTTTTCGCGTGGTCCTACGAAGAAATACTTGGAATCGACCCTGAGATTGTACAGCACCGGATCTCTCTTGACCCTGAGGTCCAACTCGTGAAACAGAAGCTGCGTAGAATTCGTCCGGATTGGGCTTTGAAAATCAAGAAAGAGGTCACCAAGAAAATTGATGCAGGATTCCTGTTAGTGTCCGAGTATCTAACCTGGTTGGCCAATATCGTCCCAATGTCAAAGAAAGACGGAAGAATCCAAGTTTGTGTCAATTTTCGGGACCTGAACAGAGCTAGTCCGAAGGATGACTTGCCACTGCCACACATTGATGAGTTGGTAGACTTCACTGCGGGCCATGCATTGCTATCATTTATGGATGGGTTTTCCGGGTTCAATCAGATTCTGATGGCACCAGAGGATAGAGAAAAGACCGCATTCACTACGTCGTGGGGCACCTATTGCTACCGGTCATGCCTTTTGGGTTGAAGAATGCTGGGGCTACCCATCAGAGGGCTGCGACCACCATTTTGCATGACATGATTCACAAAGAGGTTGAGGTGTACATGCACGACATGATTGTCAAATCCAAAGAGCAAGAAGGCCACTACCACTACAACAAAAAAGGTCTTTAGTGACGAAAAGGTATGACGAAAAAAAATTTCGTCTCCAAATGTACATGTTTTAGAGATAAAAGTAAGATTTCGTCTTCAATTGTCGTATTTTTAGAGAGAAAAATCAAATTTCGTCACCAAATGCTTAAAATCAATAAAACAATAGGTGACGAAAATTTTATTCGTCTCCATATTTTATTTTTTGTCGCAAAAAAAATTCCCGCCCTTGGAAAATTTGGCAGAATATCTGAGCTCCGTTTTAGAGACGAAAATTTTCGTCACTATTTTACAAAATTTTTTGCGAGGAAATAATTTCATCTCCTGTAATTTTATTATGCAAAACGGCGTAGTTTCAGGCTATAAGTAAGAACCCTCTTTGTTTGGTCCTATTTTGCAAAGTCCTCTCTCTCTCTCTCTCTCTTCGTTTCATGCCCTCTCTATCTCTCTCTCCCACCGTCTCCACTGCTCCTCTCCCCTCTCTCTCTCCCGCCAGTCCTCTTCGCGTTCGCGGGCAACCGGAGCTCCTCCTCCTCCTCCGGCATCGCCACTATTTGATCTCACTCCTGTCAAACTGCCCATCGCTCTCCGTAGGTACACTGTATCATCGCCACCGTCACTCACCGTCTCAAGCCCATTGATTTTGATTTAGGTATTTCTCTCTCTTTCTCTCTCTCCGTTTCCAGCCCTTCCTCTATTTCCCCATTTTGATTAGGTATTTCTTCCTCTTACATCTTTCGCCCTCCAACTGTTTAATGCAATGCCCGAATCTGAACTCACCTTTCAACAAAGCTTTGGTTTGAATCAATCCTTCCTCATCTGCTACAGGTACAAGCTGAACCATTCAATTCTTAATTGTGTATTTTCTGTGCTGCGAAAATGATGAACTTGCTTTGAACTTGCTTGATTTCAGTTCTGAATTCGAATTATTATTATTATTTTCTGTCATGTTAGATTGGAGCATGTGTAACATCAGCTAATCTGGATTTGAAAGTTAGAGCAAGGAGATAAATAATTGTGTATTTTTTATGAAGCTTTTATAGATTCGGACCTTGTAGCGTTCAATAAATAATTTTGTATTTTCTGTCATTAATTGTGTATTTGATTTCAGTTCTGTGCTGCGAAAATGATGAATGTGTATTTTCTATATCCAAATTTCTGTCATCTCTTGTGTAATTTGTTTGAAAATAGATTCGGACCTTATAGCGTTCGATAAATAACAAAATTGAATAGATTTTATAGTTGTTCAATCCAATCCTTTATTGTTTATATAGCTGTTATATTCAGCGAGTCAATCTTTTTTTCTGTTCGATGAGATGCTCATGATTGAATAGATTAGTGTTTTTGATCTTTTCATTTGCATTGTTCTGTGGCACTTGGAGGCCATTGTTCATCTATGAATGTTTTACTTGGAAACCTGCAACAAGAATGGTTTCAAGAAATAAATATGCTAAACTACTGACGTATTGTTCTGTGGCACTTGGAGGCCATTGTTTATCTATATATATGATATGATTTTACTTTCAATTGTTAATGCTCTGCTTATTGGTGAAATCCATATGATGAAGTAGATGTGTATCGCTTGGTTATCATCCTTCCAAACAGTAGCTGCTCAAAATTGTTCTCTCTTTTTACTTTTTTCGACTTTGCTGTTTAGTAGTTGTTGTACTCAATCTGTTGGAAACAGTTCAATGTTCATATTACTCTAGAGGGTATAAGACATTCTTTAATTCGACAAGAGGACAGCATCATATTTAGCCTCCTGTAGAGAGCTCAATATTGTTTCAATGTTGACACCTATGACCCTAATGCTTTCTTCATGGATGTGTTCCACGGCTCGGTTGATTTCATGGTCAAAGAAACTAAAAAGCTTCATGCTCGGGTATGTTATGCCTTAATTTATGAAAGGAGGAAAATAAAATGATTTTATTGCTAGTTTCTGATTTATTTTTTAGTGCATATCAGGTTGGAAGATACAAGAGTCCCAATGAGCATCCTTTCTTCCTAGATGACTTACCAGATCCAATGCTGCCACCTCTTCAGTACCCTCAGGTAAGACAATAGATACAATGGTTTTAGTTAATTTACTCTGAGCCAGAATTATCGTTGACATAGCTTGTAACATAATGCGTAACACACAAATTTATGAAGTTTGGATTGGAAGATGGAAAACTTGGAGGGTGCTTGTTATGACTTCTTGAGCTTAATTTAATTTGATGAAGTCAACCACATAGATTTGCTACATGCATGAAACTTTATCAAATCCAAGTGTAGAATATAATCTTGATGTTTATTTAGTAAAATCTTGGTATCAACTATTACAATTGTTAAACTTTCTCTTTATCACTATGCACTTTGTTTGTGTTTGCAAATTTTTATGCCAGCCATCGCTGACATAGCCCCTTGTTTTATATATTCAAATAGGTTCTTCATCCCATCGCTGATGCAATCAATATCAACAATAAAATATGGGATATGTATTTTAGGGATCTTCTTACAAGACTAGTCAGGGAAGGAGATGATGGTAACTACGGTTCAGCTACAGTCTGTGACACAATTTGCTTGCAGGTATACATTTTTAACATATAATTAATCTCGATTAGTTTGAACTGTGAATTATTGGAACAGGAGATGATTTTACTGCAGTAATGTACTGTGAACTGCATTTTAATGCTTCTGAGTGTGTGCTTGCTTTAACACACTTATTTGTAGATGATAATTTGTTTTTAATTTGATTTTGTCCATGAAGCTCATCATGTTTAATTTTATACAAATGGTAAAGCAAGCAGCCTAAACTGAATATCCTACATCGAATTATAGACAAGACATTTTCCCCGTTGTAAAACAGTGAATGATCCATTTGCTGAGTATTAGTGACTGCCTACTGTGTTCACTAGTTACATTAATGATCCAACATTCTTTCCCATGATAGAAGTAAAGTAATTGATGGATTTGTTGCTTTTGCAGATGTATGCTGACTGATTATATATATATATATATATTAGCATTACGTTTTTCGATATGTTTTTTATATATCCCAAAGCATGGCATTTAACATAATGTTGGGGATTAACCAATCATTCTAACTTGCAACTATTCCTTCTATGTATTGCTGTACTTTGTTTGCAGGCTCTCTCAAAGAGAATTCATTATGGTAAATTTGTAGTAGAGGCTAAATTTCGAGCTTCACCAGATGCATATGAAGCTGCCACTAGAGCACAAGTTTATATTTTATTTTTCAGATGCACCCAGTGCATCCATTCCTTTGGTATAACCTTTTTCAAAACCTTGTGTGCTGAAACAGGTCATGATCACTTTGATTTTGTTAAATTGTGGTGCTTGTGATTTTGCAGGATAGGACTCGACTGATGGATTTGCTGACATATCCCATTGTGGAAGAGGCAATAAAGACTAGAGTAGAGATGGAAGCCAAAGCTTACGGAAAAGAGGTGACTGATAATAATAATGTAGAGGAAGACGGAGCTGATCCGATATACAAAATAAAACCAAGCTTGGTTGCTGACCTATATGGGGACTGGATCATGCCCTTGACAAAGGAAGTTCAAATTGAATATTTATTGAGAAGGCTTGATTGAATTAAGGTCAGTTTCTACAAATAAAATCATATATGTATATTATACTACAACACGAAGAAATAGCGCAAGTTAGCATTAATATCAATACCTCATTCATCATTATATTTTAATATCTTCAGTTGCATTTGGATTTTTTTGAACTACAATTTTTCAAAGCTTAAATACATTCCAAAGGGTAAGGAATACCCGATTCTTTGTAGGAGGTTAGCGACTGAAAACAAAGGTTGGGTGGAGACTGCTGTCAATTACGGGAGATGAGGATTTGGGAGGGAGGAAATTTGCTTAATTCTCTATTGTGTATGGAACTAAATTTTTGAGGTTTTTCCTTCTATCACTTGCTTATGATCTGTTATAGCTCTTAAATTTTGTGTAATCTTCATGTTAAATATAAATAAGTTTAGGTGAATGTTTTTCTGTGAACACTTATTAGTGATGTTGTGTTTTTCTTTAAATGTTTTGGCCTCAGGTTTTGTGGATCTTGTAATCGAGTTTGATCTTAAAGTGACTTTTCTCAAAGGCCATAGACAAGAATTGACGAGCAGGTATCTTCTAGACAAGAATTGATCTTAAAGTGACTTTTCTTAAAGGCCTTAAAGTGACTTTTTGGAAAGCCCACGTATATTGTTTTATTTATTGTAGCATTATTAAAAACCCATATATGTTAAATGGAAATGCAACATCAAAAAAAGAAAAGAAAAAGAAACATAACCAATTAAATGTCTAATACATCTTCATAAGTCATGATAATATATGCATGGATATAGGATGGAACTCCCAGTTTGAAAACTATGTAGAAAAATACACTTTTTCAAACTAAGTCCAAAAATGCACTTTTCCAATACTTAGACTTGAAAATAGGCCATCGGGGACTAAAATCGTGAAAAAATCATGAAAAGGCCCGAGAACACCCTTCACACCTCGGGAGAGACCAATGTAAGTTGTGAAAACATACGGAACTAGCATGGGACTCCCGATTTGAAAACTAAGTAAAAAAATGCACTTTTCCAACACTTAGGCTTGAAAATAGGCTATCGGGGGGCCAAAATCGTGTAACAGTCATGAGAAGGCCTAGGAAACATCTCAAACACCTCGAGAGGGACCAATGTAAATTGTGAAAACTTACGGAACTAACACGGGACTCCGGGATTGAAAATTAAGTCGAAAAATGTATTTTTCCAACACTTAAGCTTGAAAATAAGCCATCGGGGGCCAAAATCATGTAACAGCCACGAGAAGGCCTGGAAATGACCTCAAACACCTCGAGAGGAACCGATGTGAGTAGTGGAAACTTACAGAACTAGCAGGGGATTCCCGGTTCGAAAACTAAGTCCAAAAATGCAATTTTTTTCACTTGAGCTTCAAAAATAGGCCATCGGAGGCCAAAATCGTGCAACAGCTATGAGATGGCCCAGGAATCACCTCAAACACCTTCGGAGGGACAAATGTGAGTTATGAAAACTTACGGAACAAGCACGGGACTTCCGGTTTGAAAACTAAGTCCAAAAATGTACTTTTTCACACTTAAGATTCAAACTAGGCCATCGGGGGGCAAAATCGTGCAACAGCCACAAGACAGCCCGAGGAACACCTCAAACACCTCGGGAGGGACCAATGTGAGTTGTGGAAACTTAAGGAACTAGCACGGGACTCCCAGTTCGAAAACTAAGTCCAAAAATACACTTTTTTTCACTTGAGCTTCAACAAATAGGCCATCGGAGGCCAAAATCGTGCAACAGCCACAAGGCGACCTAGGAATCACCTTAAACACCTTGGGAGGGACAAATGTGAGTTGTGGAAACTTACGAAATTAGCACGAGACTCCCGGTTTGAAAACTAAGTCCAAAAATGCACATTTTCACACTTAAGCTTCAAACTAGGCCATCAAGGGGCAAAATCGTACAATAGCCACGAGACAGTCCGAGGGACACCTTAAACACCTCGGAAGGGACCAATGTGAGTTATGGAAACTTACGGAACTAGCACAGGACTCCCGGTTCGAAAACTAAGTCCAAAAATGCACTTTTTTCACTTGAGCTTCAAAAATAAGCCATCGGAGGCCAAAATCGTGCAACAGCCATGAGATGGCCCGGGAAGCACCTCAAACACCTCGGGAGGGACCAATGTGAGTTGTGAAAACTTACGGAACTAGCACGGGACTCCCGGTTTGAAAACTAAGTCCAAAAATGCACTTTTTCACACTTAAGCTTCAAAAATAGGCCATCAGAGGCCAAAATCGTGCAACAGCCACGAGACGTCTCGAAAAACACCTCAAATACCCTGGAAGGACAAATATGAGTTGTGGAAACTTACAAAACTGGCATGAGACTCCTGGTTCGAAAACTAAGTCCAAAAATGTACTTTTTCACACTTAAGCTTCAAAAATAGACCATCGGAGGCCAAAATCGTGCAACAGCCATGAGACGGCCCAGGAAACACCTCAAAAACCTCAGGAGGGACCAATGTGATTTGTGAAAACTTACGGAACTAGCACGGGACTCCCAGTTTGAAAACTAAGTCCAAAAATGCACTTTTTCACAGTTAAGCTTCAAAAATAGGCCATCGGAGGCCAAAATCGTGCAATAGCCATATGACGTCCCGGGAAACGCCTCAAACATCTTGGGAGGAACAAATGTGAGTTGTGGAAACTTACAGAGGCCCTGTTTGGTAGAGCTGTGGGAAAGTGCTTATAGCTTATACCTTATAACTATGAACATAATCTTATTTCTAACTTATAAATTAAGCATCTCCTGCCCCACTCAAAGAATAAGCTGATTTTTGACTTACAAAAAGCTATAAGCTGCATTGTTAAGCTAAACCAAACACATCAAAATAGCTTAAATTAAGTTCAAAGCTGAAATAAGCAGCTTTTAAGCTGCACCAAACAGGCACAGAACTAGCACGAGACTCCCGGTTTGAAAACTAAGTGCAAAAATGCACTTTTTCACACTTCAGCTTCAAACTAGGCCATCGGGGGCCAAAATCGTGCAACAGCCATGAGACAGCCTAAGGAACATGTCAAACACCTCGGGAGGGACCAATGTGAGTTGTGAAAACTTACGGAACTAGCACAAGACTCGCGGTTTGAAAACTAAGTCGAAAAATGTACTTTTTCACACTTAAACTTAAAAATAGGACATCGAAGGCCAAAATCGTGCAACAGCCATGAAACGGCTTAGAAAACACCTCAAACACCTCGGTAGGGACCAATGTGAGTTGTGGAAACTTACGGAACTAGCACGGGACTCCCGGTTTGAAAATTAAGTCCAAAAATACACTTTTTCACACTTAAGCTTGAAAATAGACCATTAGAGGCCAAAATCGTGCAACAGCCACGAGACGGCCCAGAAAACACCTCAAACACCTTGGGAGAGACTAATGTGAGTTGTGGAAACTTATGGAATTAGCACGGGACTCCCGGTTTGAAAACTAAGTCGAAAATTTCACTTTTTCACACTTAAGCTTCAAACTAGGCCATTGGGGGCCAAAATCGTGCAACAGCCACGAGACGGCCCGAGGAACATGTCAAACACCTCGGGAGGAACCAATGTGAGTTGTGGAAACTTACGGAACTGGCACGGAACTCCCGGTTTGAAAACTAAGTCGAAAAATGCATTTTTTCACACTTAACCTTGAAAATAGGCCATCCGAGGCCAAAATTGTGTAACAGCCACGAGACGGCCCAGGGAACACCTCAAACATCTTGGGAGGGACCAATGTGAGTTGTGAAAACTTACAGAACTAGCACAGGACTCCCGGTTTTAAAATTAAGTCCAAAAATGCACTTTTTCACACTTAATCTTGAAAATAGGCCATCGGACGCCAAAATCATGCAACAGCCACGAGATGGCCCGGGAAACACCTCAAACACCTCGGAAGGGATCAATTTGAGTTGTGAAAAGTTACAGAACTAACACGGGACTCCCGGTTTGAAAACTGAGTCCAAAATTGTACTTTTTCACATTTAAGCTTGAAAATAGACCTTCGAGGGCCAAAATCGTGCAACAGCCACGGGACGGCCCGGGGAACATCTCAAACACGTCGAGAGGGACCAATGTAAGTTGTGGAAACTTACGGAACTTGCATTGGACTCCCGATTTGAAAACTAATTCGAAAAATGCATGTTAAATTGTATATTTTATGGATAAGATAATAATTGTCTAACTTGCATTTTTTTTGTTTTTTTGTTTTTTGTGTTTCATTTTTTTGCAGATTTGAGATTTGATATGGACATGTTTGGTAATTTGGAGGGCAAATGGTAGCTCATTTTGTGTTTTTGTTCATATTACTTTACATGTATTTTGGTTGCGTTGCAAATTTTATATTGTTGTTGGTATTACCGAGCATGTTGGGTAATCCACCCTTGATATTTTATTTTTGTTGATATTAGTAGACATGTTTTGTTATTGGATATTAGGAGATGTGTTTGGTAATCCGCATGCGGTTGCTATGATATTTTTGTGGATATTAGTAGACATTGTTCGTGGATATTAGAAGACATGTTTATAATCCACATGCAGTTCATATTGTATTTTTGTGGATAGTGCTGAAATTCGATTGTGATGTTTATGAAAATGAACAGATTTTTGTATTGATTTGTAATAGATTTTTTATTGAACAAGTTATTGAAATGCACAGGGAATTGTTACTGAAAAGAAAAAATTACGGAAGAAAATAGTACCCCCATTTTCAAATTTTTTTAATTTTTATTAGTGACGAAATAAAAAATGTCGCTATTAGTTTTCAAAAAACATGACGAATAATTTTGTCACTAATGATATAATACGAAACAAATAATTTCGTCACATTTGCTGAATATTTCGTCGTTAAATTGAAATATTTTGTGACAAAATGTTTTGTCTTTGAAGAATTTTCTTTTCTGCTCATTTTAGTGACGAATTTTTTTGTCACTTTAATCCATATCATTAGTGAGGAAAACTTTTGTCACTAAAATCTATTTGGTGACGAAATATTTCGTCGCTAAAAACAACTAAAATAAAATA